AGGAGCCTCAGAAGATCACACCCTAGAGACTAGTTACCTCTTCCCAAAAGCCATGGAAGTTTGGGGGACTAGTTAAGCCACTCATTTGAAATCTGTTTTCCATGCCCTTCGACCTCTCTTTCCACCAAAAGCCATGGGTTTGGAGGAGGGGATGAATGAGTGATCTATACCGAAAGCCACGGATAGATCTTGCTTAGTTTTCAAGGCTTAGAGATCCTCACAAAGTGAGTCGATTTAAAGTTTGCAACCCAAGGTCGAACCTTTGAAACCCCTGACCATGAATCTCAACCCTAGGCCCTTTCTTTTAGCATCTTTACATCTTCTCTCGTCATTCGCTTGATCTTTGATAGCATCCTGGTCGTTAGTTTTACTGTTCTTGTATTTTTAGATGAGATCGATTGTTATTGCTCGATCTAGTGGTTGATCTCATGGTCGACCCACTAGTCGAATTTTAGTAATTCGAAGCTTTGTTCTTTAATTATTCTGTTTGTTCCTCGTGGTAGTTTGATCCTTCCTAGTAATTTTAAAATAGGTTGCATTTCATTTAAGTTGCTGCATCTAGTTTTTAGGGATTTTCTCATAACCTATCTTGTTTCGCTTAGATTTGCATTAGTCCTTGTATTCTCCTTGTATTCTCTATCATCCTAGGTGTGGATTGACTCTCTCTTGCTTGCTGTACTACAACCTGTCTTGCATTTGAGTTTGATAACCTCATTGCATTCTCACCCTTGCAAATAAAATGACTATCAATAATAGATTACCTTGAAGTAAGGATAAAATCTTGTGCTTTTACTGATTTTAGCAGACACTTAATGAGCAGTCTTGGCCATCTAACTTGGTGCAAGCGTGCTTAAAGCTTTGAGAACTTTATATGAAAATTCGTGCTTGCTGTGAATTTTGATCTTTTGAAAGTGTCAATCGTGTGACAATATCTTGAATTTTGGCCAAATGTCATAAAAAAGTAGCAACCATCTTCCACACATATGTTGTGTGTTCTCCAACTCTGTTTGTGTTCTGATAAGATAGCATAAATCTGCAAACACTTCAGGATACATACGATTAAATTGCCAAAAATGAACAAGATCATTTTCGAAAAACTTTTGTATATAATCATATCCCTCTCTAGTGTTTTTCCGCCTAATTGGGTGTTCGATTCACATATGCATCAAAAGATCCTACATGTATCAATAACATAATATATGCATCTGAATCATCTTCGTCGTAAGAGTTTAGTTCCACTAATAAAAAACTTACAATAGCAATAATATCACACAATCACCAGCTGTTAAATAGCAACTTAAATAAAAAGTATTATTAGGATATAAGAAATGGTTATTATGAAATGAAGGAAAAAAAAAGATGGAATTAGAGGAAGATGAAGAAATTAATTATTGAGAAATAATTGACCTTAAACGTAGATGAAGAGATGAATATTTTATGGAGCATATCTTTTCTGTGTTTTCTTCCATTGGTAAGAAAAATGGTGAGTATACAAGATATGGCATTATAGTTGATAATGTTAGGTTAAAAAATCTGACAAAAAAAGGGTTAGATTCTGATTGTTATAATTTACACATATAATTGGAATATTTTTTATTCAAGTTCTTTCATGTCAAAGAAATTGTAAAAAACTCTCAAAGATGAATAACACAAGAGATTAATTGTTGTATTCTTTATTTTTTTTTGCATCAAAATCACCATGCATTAGTTTTAAGTTCCAAAAGACACACATTTCTCACTATAAAATATCTCTCTCAAAGCGTTCTAGCAATCCTTCTATTCAAAGTAAGTTTTGAGAATATAAGTAGAATTTTTTAAGTTCGTAGATTCCATCTTCGTGTGTTGTAAAACGGTCTCACATTGCTTGTATCTTGAGACTCTAAATCGTAGAGTACCGTCACTCTATAGTCGATTTCTTGAGATAAGGTAAAAGGTCTTGACTCGATCACTATTTCTTTTGTAAAACGTGTTTTCAAAGGTCTTTTTTCTTTTCTTCCTTTACGCTATTATCGTCTGTAATCATTTGTATATATCTCAATAATTATTTCGGTTTTTGCGGTTCCTATTCAAACAATAAGATAATATTTTCCTAAAACATCAAAACACATAAAATATGATATTGATTATTATTACTTTCTGGAACTGGCTGTCTGTTAGTTCTTCTTGTTAAGGCATCTTATAGAAGTTTTTAATCATGAACTGATCCTTCCCGTCCACTTATAACATATATGAACTCAAAATCTAAATTGTAAGCAGCTAGTACGTTTTGCGAAATGCATCCTTTTTGATTATGGTAACATGCTTTTTCAGGACCTTTTACCAATGCAGTAATATGAGTGTCATCAATAGCTTCGATATAATCCAAAAATAAATTTAAAAATTGTTAACATATAAAGTAAAAAGAAATAATATTATAGATTACCTTGAAGTAAGGTTAATATCTTATACTTTTACTGATTTTAGCAGACACTAAATGAGCAGGCTTGGCCATCAAATTTGGTGCAAGTGTGCTTAAAGCTTTCAGAACTTTATGAAAATTCGTGTTTGGTGTGAATTTTGATCTTTTAAAAGTGTCTATCGTGTGACAATATCTTAAATTATGGCCAACTGTCATAAAAAAAAAAGCAGCAACCATCTTCCACATATATGTTGTGTGTTCTCCAACTCTAATTGTGTTCTGATAAGATAGCATAAATCTGCAAACACTTCAGGATACATACGATTAAATTGCCAAAAATGAACATGATCATTTTCGAAAAACTTTTGTGTATAATCATATCCCTCTCTAGTGTTTTGCCGCCTAATTGGGCGTGGAATTTGATTCTCATATGTATCAAAAGATCCTACAAGTATCAACAACATAATATCTGCATCTGAATCATCTTCCTCGTAAGAGTTTAGTTCCACTATTAAAAAAAATTACAATAACAATAATACCACACAATCACCAACTGTTAAATAGCAACATAAATAAAAGTATTATTAGGATATCAGAAATGATTATTATGAAATGAAGGGGAAAAAGAGATGGAATTAGAGGAAGAAGAAGAACTTAATTGTTGAGAAATAATAGACCTTAAACGTAGATGAAGAGATGTCGTAAGTATCTAAAAGAGAAACACATGTGAAGAAAAAATATTTTATGGAGGTTATCTTTTCTGGGTTTTCTTCCCTTGGTAAGGAAAATGGTGAGTATACGAGATATGACATAATAGTTGATAATGTTATGTTAAAAAATCTGAGGAAAAGAAGTTAGATTCTGATTGTTATAATTTACACAAACAATTGGAATCAATTTTATTCAAACTCTTTCATGTCAAAGAATTTGTAAAAAACTCCCAAACATGAATAACACAAAAGATTAGTTGTTGTATTATTTTCTTTTTTTTTTTGCATCAAAATCACCATGTATTAGTTTTAAGGTTCAAAAAGACACAAATTTCTCACTGCAAAATATCTCTCTCAAAGTGTTCTAGCAATCCTTCTATTTACAGTATGTTTTGAAAATTTAAGTAGAAGTTCTTATGTTCATAGATTTTGTCTTCGAGTGTTGTAAAATGGTGTCTTATCGGTTGTATCTTGAGACCCTAAATCGTACAGTACCGTCACTCTACAGTCGATTTCTTGAGTTAAGGTAAAAGGTCTCGACTCGATCACTATTTCTTTTGTAAAACGTGTTAAGGTAAAATCTTGTGCTTTTACTGATTTTAGCAGACACTAAAAGAGCAGGCTTGACCATCAAACTTGCTGCAAGCGTGCTTAAAGCTTTGAGAACTTTATGAAAATTCGTGCTTGCTGTGAATTTTGATCTTTGAAAAGTGTCTATCGTGTGACAATATTTTGAATTTTGGCCAACTGTCATAAAAAAAAAAGCAGCAACAATCTTCCACATATATGTTGTGTGTTCTCCAACTATGTTTGTGTTCTGATAAGATAACATAAATCCGGAAACACTTCAGGATGCATACGATTAAATTGCCAAAAATGAACATGATCATTTTGCAAAAATATTTGTATATAATCGTATCCTTCTCTAGTGTTTTGCCGCCTAATTGGGCGTGTAATTTGATTCTCATATGCTCCAAAAGATCCTACAAGTATCAATAACATAATATATGTATCTAAATCATTTTCCTCGTAAGAGTTTAGTTCCACTATTAAAAAAACTTACAATAACAATAATATCACACAATCACCAGCTGCTAAATAGCAACATAAATAAAAGTGTTATTACGATATATGAAATGATTATTATGAAATGAAGGGGAAAAAGATGGAATTAGAGGAAGAAGATGAAATTAATTATTGAACAATAATAGACCTTCAACGTAGATGAAGAGATGCCGTAAGTATCTAATGGAGCAACACAGGTGAAGGAAAAATATTTTATGGAGCATATCTTTTCTTGGTTTTCTTCCCTTGGTAAAGAAAATGGTGAGTATACAAGATATGGCATAACAGTTGATAATGTTGTGTTAAAAAATCTGAGGAAAAAAGGTTAGATTCTGATTGTTATAATTTACACAAACAATTGGAATCAATTTTATTCAAACTCTTTCATGTCAAAGAATTTGTAAAAAACTCCCAAACATGAATAACACAAAAGATTAATTGTTGTATTATTTTCTTTTTTTTTTGCATCAAAATCACCATGTATTAGTTTTAAGGTTAAAAAAGACACAAATTTCTCACTACAAAATATCTTTCTCAAAGTGTTCTAGCAATCCTTCTGTTTAAAGTAAGTTTTGAAAATTTAAGTAGAATTTCTTATGTTCGTAGATTTCGTCTTCGAGTGTTGTGAAACAGTGTCACATCGGTTGTATCTTGAGATCCTAAATCGTACAGTACCGTCATTCAAAAGTCGATTTCTTGAGTTAAGGTAAACGGTCTCGACTCGATCACTGTTTCTTTTGTAAAACGTGTTTTCAAAGGTCTCCTTTTTTGTTTTCTTCTCTTACACTATTATCATCTTTAATCAGTTTTATATATCTCAATAATTATTTCGGTTTTTGCGGTTCCTATACAAACAACTAGATAATATTTTTCTTAAACATCAAAACACATAAAATATGATATTGATTATTATTACTTTCTGGAACTGGCTGAGTCTTAGTTCTTCTTGCTAAGACATTTTGTAGAACTTTTAACTGAGCCTTTCTGTCCACTTATAACATATATGAACTCAAGATCAAAGTTGTAAGCAGCTAGTATGTTTTGCGAAATGACTCCTTTTCGATTATGGTAACAGGCTATTTCAGGACCTTTTATCAATGCAGTAATATGAGTGTCATCAATAGCTTCGATACAATCCAAAAATAAATTTAAAAATTGTTAACATATAAAGTACAAAAAAATAATATTCAAACATAATAGATTACCTTAAAGTAAGAATAAAATCTTGTGCCTTTTTAATTGGTAACATGTTTTTTCAGGACCTTTTACCATTGCAGTAATATGAGTGTCATCAATAGCTTTGATACAATCCTAAAATAAATTTTAAAATTGTTAACATTTAAAGTATAAAGAAATAATATTCATACATAATAGATTATCTTGAAGTAATGATAAAATCTTGTGCTTTTACTGATTTTAGCAGATACTAAATAATCAGGCTTGGCCATCAAACTTGGCGCAAGCGTGCTTAAAGCTTTAAAAACCTTATGAAAATCCGTGGTTGCTGTAAATTTTGATCTTTTAAAAGTGTCTATCGTATGACAATATCTTGAATTTTGGCCAACTGTCATAAAAAAAGTAGCAACCATCTTCCACAGATATGTTGTGAGTTCTCCAACTCTGTTTGTGTTCTAATAAGATAGCATAAATTCGCAAACACTTCAGGATACATACGATTAAATTGCCAAAAATGAACATGATCATTTTTGAAAAACTTTTGTATATAATCATATCCTTCTCTAGTGTTTTGCCGCCTAATTGGGCGTGCAATTTTATTCTCATATGCATCAAAAGATCCTACAAGTATCAATAACATAATATATGTATCTGAATCATCTTCCTCGTAAGAGTTTAGTTACACTATTAAAAAACTTATAATAACAATAATATCACACAATCACCAGTTGAGTATATTAAACTTCTAGGTTTTCTTCCCTTGGTAAGGAAAATGGTGAGTATACGAGATATGAAATAATAGTTGATAATGTTATGTTGAAAAATCTGAGGAAAAAATGTTATATTTTATTTGTTATAATTTACACATAAAATTGGAATCAATTTTATTCAAACTCTTTCATATCAAAGAAATTGTAAAAAACTCCCAAACATGATTAACACAAGAGATTAATTGTTGTATTCTTTTTTTTTTGCATCGAAATCACCAAATATTAGTTTTAAGTTCCAAAAAAATTTGGCTCTGGAACCAGCCATTCCAGAATGATGGAGTCTATATGGACCATATCTTGCCTTTTAGATGGTAAAAGCTTGGCTCAGTCATCTGTTTTTTGTTCTCTTCGTCCTTTAGTTCCAGGGCTACATCATATCCCGTTCTCACTGAGTAGACCCCTGATTTTGTTTAGGCCCATACCAGACGATCAGGTTTATATGCTCTACTAGGCCTGATGCTCTTTATACATGGAATATCTTCCAGATCAAACAGCTGCTCCAGCCGGTCCACTCTCCACCTTTCTGTATCTGGATCTATCAGATGGTGTACATATAAGTCCGGGTTAAGATCACCACCTAGTCCCCTCGACGGGCGGGGCGGGGTTATTGCTAACCATTTGCCATACCAAACTCTAGTCCTTATACCCGAGTTGATAGAAAATTGCAGCCCGTGTTGTAGGATATGTTTTGCTGCTATCATACTCCTCCATCCAAATGAGGGATTATTGGCTTTTTCGACCTCTAAAGGGTTCGGGAACCTATAATATCGTGCTCTCATCACCTTTGCCAGTAGGGACGAAGGGTACTGGATTAGTCTCCACAACTGTTTAGCCAGGAGAGCCAGATTGAAGCATTTGAGATCTTGAAATCCCAGTCCCCCTTTCTCTTGGCTTATGAAGATTTAATCCCAGGCTACCCAGTGTAGACCCCTATTTAGTCATTTGGTACTCCACCAGAATTTTGCAATGGCCCTTTGAATTTTCTTGATGAGCTCCTGGGGTAGTAAGAAGCAGGACATGACATAAACTGGTAGTGCTTGAGCTACTGACTTGATATTACCATATATTTTGCATATTTTTCATGCATTTAGGATAGTTTTTCATGCATTCATCTTGCATTATAGGCTAGTTTGTTCCATTTGTTACATTTTAGGTCCTAGGTCTCTTTGCATTCGCATTTTTGCATATTTCTTGCACTTTTGCATCATTATCAGGTTGTTTGGAGCACTATGGAGTTGTGGAGGTTATGTGGACGTGAGGAGGATCAAAACTAAGCTTGTGGACACTTGGAGAGGTCAACCATGCATGTAAAGGACCCGAGATCGAGTAGTGGATCGAGCAAGGCAGGTCGATCTAGATGAGATCGACCGGAACATCGAGGATCGAGAAGAAGATCGAGGAAGGTGCTCGATCCATCCAACCAGATCGACTGGAAGATCGAGCAAAGAAAGGCGATCCAACAAGAAGATCGAGTGAGCTGCTCGATCCAGAGATCGATTCCTGAGGAGCCTTATCCATCCAGCTGGTTTTGGCATCTAGCGAGGGGACCATTGAGAGTTGTCCAGCTGGTTATGCACTCTTTGTCTTAGCTTTTTCTGTTCTTCATCTTAGGCGAATCCGCCATTGCGAAACCTTAAGCTTTTTCTAGTTTTTGAACTTGAATCTTTTAATATTAAGCAGTTTTTCTTTAATTGCTCTTTAATCATGCTTAGCTCTTTGTTTATTGCGTTTCATTCGGTTTCAAAGATGAGTAGTGAGTAGTTTTCTTTTGGGATTTGGGGTTGAGGCAATTCAAAGGGTTTAAGAGGTTTAAGTTTTGTGTTTTTCTTGTTCTTCATTCCTTCTCTTCTAGGATCTTGGGGTCTTAAGGCTTAGAGAGTCTTGGAAAAGATCTCTATGATTCCAAGGCTATCTTACCCTGACCGGATTCATATGTCCTAGAAAACCAAGTCCTAGAGACTAATCGACCCTCTCTCAAATGCCATGGATGTAGAGGAGGTTAGTTAGACCATAGATTGAAATCTTTTTTCTTGCTATTTGATCTCTTTTTCCATCAAACGCCATGGGTTTGGAGAAGAGATTGACGAAGTGAATCATACCACACGCCATGGATGGTTCTTGTTTTGTTTTCAAGGCTTAGAGAAAGCTCATTAATGAGTAGATCTATATGTTTTCAAACCAAATATTAAACTTTTGACACTCTTGAATATGATCCTCGACCCTAAACCCTCTTTTAGCATTTTAAAACTTCTGTTAATCATTCTCTTATCATAAAGCTTGCATCTTTGTTCATCTAAAATAGTCATTTGCTTTAAGTTGTTAGATCGGTCTGTTTGACTCGATTCAGTGCTCGATTTTTAGTTCTTAGTAAATTTGCTCTTTTGATGCTCTGTTTTCTTTCACTGTTAGTTATCCGTCTTCCAGGGATTTTGAAATAGCTTTGTATCTTATTTAGTCGTTGCATTTAGTTTTCTTCGATTTTACCAATCATTTTCCCGATTTGCTTAGATTTGCTTCATCCTTGCATTCTTAGTGTTCTTCCTGCATCCTAGGTTGGATTGATACCTCTTGCACACTATACTACATCCATATGTTGCTTGAGTTTTGATAATAATCATCCTCTGATAAAATCCTGTTATCAAATGGCGCCGTTGCCATCTTAGGATTGTTAGGAAGCATTAAGATTTGGGGTTTTGTAAAGACTAAGCCTTTGTTTTCATTTCGGTACTAATCTCTTTCTCTTCACACTTGTGTCTTTCAGGTACATGAATTTACGTTCTAGGGGTGACAACAACTTACTTACACCCCTGGAAAATATTCACCAACTCGGACACACAAGATCAAGGAGAGCAAGAGAGCAAGCTTAAGACTTTGAAGAGATTGTTCAAGCTGGTTCAGTAGACTTTGCAACAATGGCTGAGCAAGAACATCCTGAGGGACCTCCACCAGCTCACGGCGCTGTAGGAAGGGGCAATGGAAACCCCAACCACGCAGCTAGACCCCCACGGATCATTGGTGCTGGAGATGCTCCTAATACGCATCACAATCGCTTTGGGATCACTCCTCCACCAATACAGAACAACAACTTTGAGATAAAGCCAGGATTCATCTCTATGGTTCAGAACAGCAAATTCCATGGGCTGGCTATGGAAGACCCCTTGGAGCATCTTGAAAATTTTGAGCAAGTTTGTGGGATGATAATGATCAATGGGATCTCGGAAGATGCTTTCAAGCTACGGCTCTTCCCATTTTCTCTCGGTGATAAGGCTCGGCATTGGGAGAAGACCCTTCCATAAGGCACCATTACCTCTTGGGCTGAGTGTAAGAAGGCGTTCCTCTCAAAGTTCTTCTCGAGCACAGGAACAGCAAGGATGCAAAGTGAGATCAGCGGATTCACTCAAAGGCAGAATAAGACATTCAATGAAGCTATGAAGAGATTCAAAGACTATACCATTCAGTGTCCTCACCACGGCTTCAGTGAAGAAACTCTCCTAAGCACAATATACCGTGGAGCCTTACCCAAGATCAGAATGTTGCTTGAAACGGCTAGTAAGGTCAATTTTCTTGGTCAAGAAGTGGAAGAGGGTATGGAGTTAATCAAAAACTTGGATTTGAGTGACGGCAACTACGCCGAAGATTATGACCGTGCACCACGAGGTTCTGAGCTAGAGTCTCACAAGAAAGAGCTCAAGTCGCTGCATGAGAAGATAGACAAGCTAGTGCTTGCCAATCAGAAGCACGGAAGCCGAAGAAGTCATAGAGGAGTTAGACTTTAGTCAAGAAGAAGCTAACTGGATTGCTGGTCAGAACTACAACAAGCCTCAGGGTTATTCACAAGGTTACCAAGCCAACAACAATCTGTCTTACAAGAGCACAAACGTTGAGAACCCTAAAGATCAGGTGTACCCCCCTCAGCAAGCAAAGCCGTTTGTTCCTTATAACAAGGGTTTTCAACCGAATAGTGGCTTTCCAGGGCAGAGGCAAGGGAACTTCTAGGGTCAGCAGCAACAGCAAGGCAATAAAGGCTACACTCCTATGTTTCCTCCTGGCTTTGTTCCACAACAACAACAGATGCAACCCCAACCTCAAGATCCGGTACAAGCAATGTTCCAGCAGTTGCTTCAAGGTCAAGCTTTAACTAATCAAAAGTTTGCCGAGATGAACAACCGCCTAGACTCCTCTCTTACTGACGTCTCAACACAGATAACAAATCTGAACAACAAGATCAAGCAGTTAGGTAAGGGCAAGACTAATACAAGCGGTCAGAGCAGCTTACCAGGCAAGTGTGAGCAGAATCCCAAAGAGTATGCAAACGCTATAACAATAAGAAGTGGGAAAGAACTTCCACCGCGAGTTGCTCCTAAGACCAATGAGGACATTGTGATTCAAGAGGGGGAGAGTAAGCTTTCAGATGATGAAGAAATCACCTTTGATAATGTGTGGATTGAGAGGCCAAGGAAAGGCAAAGAAGTACCTGTAGAGAAAAAAGTGGAGCAAGCTACTAAGGAGAAGGATGCTTATGTGCCTCCACCGTATGTACCGAAGCTTCCTTTTCCTGGCTGCTTCAAGAAACAGCTGATAGAGAAGCACAGACTCTTATTTGAGAAGCATCTAAAGGACGTTGAGATCAAGTTGCCTTTTGTGGATTGTCTAGCTATGATGCCGAAGTGTGCTAAGTTCTTCAAAGACACCCTTACAAAGAAGAACAAGGAGAGTAAAGAAGTTTTGGTGCTTTGTGAAGAGTGTAGTGCTATTATCCACAGAGAAATAGTGCCTAAGAAGCTAGGATATCCAGGATCCTTCACCATTCCTTGTGCTTTGGGTCCATTGAAGTTTGAGAGCTGTTTAT